TGGTAGTGCTACTAGTGCTACTGGAAGTGGTAGTGCTACTAGTGCTACTGGAAGTGGTAGTGCTACTAGTGCTACTGGAAGTGGTAGTGCTACTAGTGCTACTGGAAGTGGTAGTGCTACTAGTGCTACTGGAAGTGGTAGTGCTACTAGTGCTACTGGAAGTGGTAGTGCTACTGCTGCTGCTACTGGAACCGCTGGTAGTAGTGGCAGTGGAAGTGGTGGTGCTTGTTGTCATGAATGTAGCGGGAGCAGCAGCGGTGGTTACGATGGCACTGTTCGTTTGGTTTGCTTGTGACGAAGATACGACCACACTGCCTGCCGTGTTTGTATCTTTAAAAAAGTATGAACACATCGTATCCATCACTAATCGTATGAGGAAAGTGCATCAACTACGTTCAGATGTGCACAGACAAAATTTCTCAATCAACTTAGAGCTTCATATTGATGTGCATCAGGTTGGCTTCATCGACCTCGAATAATAAATTCAATTCTGTTGAATTACAGATTATATGTAGTGTTATTGTAAAGTGGATTTTCAACGAACTGATTGACACAAGTTGTATGCATTTCCAGCAACTCACGAACATGTTTATTCGTGTTGAAGACTATTCTCATAAACTATCCGATATCGTTATCTCCCTATTCTTCCTCAGTGTGTTAACTGTTTCTCAATCTGATGAAGAGCAACTATCGTGAATACTCACTTGAGACCGGCTTCAAGTACAACACCAAAAGAACAGATAAAGCAATACCAGCTAACAAGGCACCAATCAATAAGCCGTACATGCAAGCTTTGCATTGAGAACAGCAAAACAGTGCAGAGGCCCCACGACTTCATATAAATGAATGAACAAAAAAAAGGATTCACATATGCTAAAACAATATATATGTATGGCATACCGTTGTTCATCGTCGGTACCGTCATCATCATCGTCGCCATACCGAACATTGTAAAAACCAATGGAATTGCTCGTTTGATGTAAACTGTGCTGTGTTGTATTTCGTTGTTGAGATTCACTGGTATCTTGTCTGCTGATCTCCTAAGAAAGATTATTTTCACACACTTATCCAAATAAAAGGGAAGTCGTGATATCCCTCACCATTCGATTTGTTTGGGGAATAGAAAGTGATTTCAAATGTTCAGGTGTATTTCTAGAAAACAACCAATCATTAAGCGTGTATTAATAACCTGATAGATATCTATACTGAAAATGCTTATATGAAAGGTTTCCGCGTCTGTGCAAATGTGGCTCTGTCGAAAAATTTTTTCAAAAATGCCATATATCTTTGTGCTTTGTCATTGATTATAAACAAAAAATGAATTTGTAGTTATTTATGGATTATTTTATTCTTGTATAAGATGCTTTGTCGAGCTTCGCTTGAAAACCATATCTTGAAAATAGGGTTGCCTTCGATTCTACAATTCTCTCTGTGTATAATCATCAAAATACTAATCAGATTGATTGTGTCGAATACGAAAAGAAACAATAATAACAAAATAGTGCTTCTTCTATAAAACGCTGAAATTCAGGCACAAGAAAAAAGGGATTGTGAGTGGAAAGATGACGAAAGAAGCAGCCGGCGACGGTTAGAGATTTTTTTTTCGCCCACAGCTTTCGTTCGAGCGATGAGAAACATTTCTATAGTAATTTTTATTTTCATACTGATGGGCTTGAGGATGAGGGAAGAATACATATCTGGCACATTCATTTGCGGCCCCATTCTAAACATCACGTACACTATTTCAAACTTATATACTTTTATTCTTTTAATTTACAATAAATTTATGTTAGCAACCTATGAAAAGCAGTTCATCTTCTAGAACACATATGAAAGGAAAGAGAAAGGCTCGAACGATTGTTCTCACTGCAACAGCATTCTCCGTCTTCATTAGACTTGATAAGTAATAAGTAAAAATGGTATAGCTTGAGCACTTTGATAAACGATGTATTCAACCGCACTAGGATTGGCCATGCCACATATAGAATGATAGTGCTCTGGTGGAGAGCTCAACGAATCATCAGTAGTTGATCTATTACATATTTCCCCAAGAGTAACAAGACAATAAAACATTTTCCGATTCGAATCTGTTAACGATGCTCGCGTATACTGATGTGATTTTGTAGTCTTGTCAGCAAAATAGGCACCGCGTCCTACAACGAATAAATGAACAAAATGATTTAGACACAGCCAATTTTTATCTGATAAATACGCCTGTAAAAGCATTATACAGCTTACCGTATAAACCACTTGAAGAAAAGTAACGTGCATCAAAGCCTTTTTCCATGATACTTTCAACATTATCAGTGGGTGTACCATGAAACAGATGACGTTCATTATTTATTCCATTTGTACATTGACCGGTTATCAGTACTTTCGTTGCATGATAAATATTGAAGACGTCAGTATTTCGAATTTGTTCGATGGATAGCACTTTAGCATTGGAAATTTGCTTCATTTCGTTTTCTATCTTTTTGTACAAATCAGACGCTGTTGGTAGAGGATCTAAGACGAATTTGTGATTTTTATGAGGCGGTGGAATATAATTCAAATCATCGCCGAATTTCTGCCATCCACGTTCCAGCATTTTAAGTTTACGTTTTCCTACTATAGTATCATCAGGACGTAGTACACGAAAACGTTTGTTCTTTATACTGTCAACGATTTGTTCGAGATCAATAGAGAAAGGTGGATCACGAAGATTAACTCGTTGACCGAGTTCTGCACAGAATCCACGTATGACATATAGATTGTTAACATCGAAATCGATCCGATTCTGCGTCAGTGCCACGTGCGGTTCGATTAGATCCATAGTGAATGGACCTGTCGGATAGTTTCGATCGAACAGTAGGACATATCGCCAATCTTGTCGAAAAACCTCTGTTTGTATATGATACTTGTGAATTTCGTCGAGAAATTGATCGATATCGAAAGGGTGTTCCAAGGGCAAGTGGCAATCAAGGTCAGATGGAATTACCGCTTTATCAATGACAGGGATTTTATGGGAGAACTGTACCCATTGTTGAGGAAGAACAGACGCAGGAGGTCGAGCTGATTGATTGGCAACGATCCAGTCACGAACAAAGCCACCTTCTAGTTTACAACGAAAAAGACAGACTGCTATCCATGCCACGACTTCCATTCGTGTTTCTCTCGTTGCTTTTAAACCACGAACGCTTGGCCAGAGATCGACTGAAGTCAGTGTGTCATCCGTAACTTGCTTAATACGACTCTCCATATCAGCTTCCGTCTGTTTCGTTTGAGGATCAATATATCGTCGAGGATACATGCCATTATCCAAATGTAATGCTATACATGGTTCTAGCCATTGGACAAACGAATCAAACTCCTTTCGTACTTTTTCGTAGTCTTTGTCCCGAGCTTTAATAATAATTTCTCCATGCTCGTCAGTGTCTCGAAAGATTACTTTTACTTGATTTTCTGCTTTCCAACGCCATTTCATAGGATTGAAAACATGCAATGATTCAATGAGCGCTTTGACATTTTGCTTTAATGATTTGTTCGTCTCATCCTTCGATATAAGTAAAGTTGTGTGCTTCAGTACAAGACGACGGCGGACATGTAATTCGGTCGTAAGTACATGACTGGCGTTTCCCGAGAGATTCAAATTTTTACCATTTAAAGTGCAAAGAATATTACGAGAGATATTGAGGAAATCTTCACTATACCTAATTTCGTCATTATATAACTTTATTTCTTTGTCAGCTAGTGTAATATCGCGCTCAAGACTCCTATCGAGCCATTCTGGTTGAATCTCTCCAAGAAATGAAATAATCGATCGATCGCGAATATCTGTTGACACAAAGATGTCGCGGGCAAGTACCAAAGGAAGAGGTTGGTCTCTGAGAGGTCGCGAAAGTTTTGATGACTTATCGAGAACAGCAATTTGTTGTTTTGATGAACTGTTTGCAACAGTATAACGAATATAACGATGTTTTTTGCCTTGAATTTCGGCAAGTGATAGATACACGTTATCAGAGTAGCCAGCAAGCAGAGCACAAGCAATTGGAGTCCAATTACCCTTCGTAGAGCGTTGCGATACATCTCTATATTTTCCTGGTAAGCAAAAGAATTTTTGAAATGAATCATATCGAATAACAGCACGTCTGATATGATGACTGATTACTGTGAGACCGGTTCGTTTACAAGCATCGTCGACATCGAATAGATGTGGTGGTTGAACAAGTTTCTCAGCTAGTATTGCGTCCATTACCGCGAGAAGAGTCATAAAATCTCCTTCTGATTTTATATACTGAGAAGGAATATGTCGTAGAACGGACGATGTGTTCAATACACTTAAAATGGCAGCTAGCCGAATAATATCACGACCACAGTTGTATGTCTCTAAACCACTTAAAACTGCCTTACTCATTGCAATACTACCAAAATCAGGTAAGGTTGATATGAGCGAGCCAATTGATGTAAAATGGTTATGCCGATCGAGAACATCGAGATCTCTCAAGCGTTTCTTAGCAGCTTCAATGACTTGATCACTGGGTGGACTTGGCAGCCACTTTTTCAATTGCTCCAAGCCGCATTTCAACGGAGATCGTTGCAGAGAAAACTCGATCTGCACTAATTCTGTTTGACATATTTGTGGAACAGGAAACTTTTTAGAAGGAGTGAACGTATATAATGGATAATATTCACCAGGACGTGTTCGTCCAAGTCGTCCTTGTCGTTGTTTAATGGTTGATTCGGCTGCATCTAATTCTTTTAGTTCAGTTGTATCTGACAATGGATCGTAGACAGGCATGTGAACTACTCCAGTGTCGATGACAAACTTCAGTGAAGGAAAAGTCAAAGATGTTTCAGCGACTGTTGTTGAAAAAAAGATCCGTTTCGTTTCAATAAGTTTTTGTTGTTCATTCGATGACTGAGATTGAACCAACGGGAAAGCTTGTAGACCTTTTGCTATCTTCAACAGTTTGATCAGTTGCAATACCTCAAACGTTGATTTAACAAAACAAAGCATCTGATCATTCAATTCCAGTTTTTCGTTTAATTGACTAATCAATTCAATCATATTCTCCGTCCACACTGGCTTGATAGTGACTGAATGTAGAAGAGATGTTTCCAGTTTCATTTCGTGAAATCGAAATGGTTTGAAGATGTGTGCAATAGATGAGTCAAGCGTAGCTGACGAAATGATTACTCTGATTTTGGGGTGAATCGATGGATTTTTGTCGAGAAATCGTGCTATTAACCCGAGACAAAGATCAATGTTGATCGAACGTTCGTGTACTTCATCGATGAAAAATACGAGCCCTAGTTTACTCGTTTTAGCTCGATGAATCAGAAATTGTTCTCGATACAGAAGATATTCTTTAAGTAATCCATCAGTTATATAAACAATGGGCGCACGTGAAACGTTTTTTGAACGGGCGCCTGCTACAGTCCAGCCACTTAGATTAGTACAGTCCAAGCTGGAATTGATCCGTCGTGACAAGAGAGTGCATGGCAGACGACGTGGTTGCGTAACAAAGATTTTGTCAAAACCCATAGCGACAAGTAGAGGCGGAATAAGAGTTGATTTACCTGATCCAGTTGCGGTAGAAATAGCAACGACTGTGTTCTCCTTGATTTTCTGAATTAATTCAATAGAAGATTGAAACAAAGGTAATTTCAATTGAAAACATTGAAAGATAAGATGAATTCGATGAATTAAAGACGATAGTAACGAAAACTGATGAGGCGAATGGCCACGGTACACTTCTTCATCGACGAGTAAGCCGTGTAACTTACGTAAATGAGCGTCTATAACAATCGAGAATGAAAAAGACTATTGCTTACACCCAAATAAGCAAAATAATTACCTCGAATGTCGATTGCATGTTTCGTATAATCTTTGTTTGATGCAAAGCTTTCCTTGATTTTATTGGTGAATTCCTGAAGAGCTTTGCTTTTCAAGTCTTCGACTGAGTTCAGGAAGTCATGATTTGTTAGAAATGTATTCTTTTCTGAGCGCATCTTTGTTCGCCAGCCGGTAGTATTATGAACGACATCACCAGCAAAATCTTTCGCCTTTCGTCCTATAAAGGTATTAAACTGTTTGCAAGATTCATCTTGAGTTGTCTTGATTAGATTTTGCAAAACTCTTAAAAAGATTTCCCAATTCTTTGCACTGCACTGTAGTTTTACATTAGAAATAGTCTGAATAAAAATTCGACTGTTCTTTGTAGTTTGATATCGATAGGAATCCTTTTGTCTCGCTATTTGCGTGACAAAGTGTTCGATCCGAGAACGTATACCATTCATAGTGATATGATGAACAGGATACGCATATAAAGTCCAAATCTGATGATGGTCAATGGTTTCATGAGTTTTCGAATGAATTTTAATATTCTTTTCATGCATTGCTGTTTTACCAAGAAAATTCAACGTTTTCAGATGATTCTCAACCATGGTCGCTTGCAATTGAACATATTCCGTTCCCGGTATATGATATGTTGTTATCATCAAATCCTTTTCAGCTTGGATTTCCGCTTGACGGTGACTTTTAAGTAGTTGGACTTGATTCTGTTCATTTTTAAGATTTTGTTCCAGTTCTCGGCAACGCTGTTTGATCTGNTGTGCTAATGCCGTTTGTCAAAGTCGATGTCTTACCTAGACACTTGGTTCCATCACAGTTCGCACTAGCACAGTCGGTACTAGCAGCGCACTTCTTAGAGGTACCACATCGGGCACATGATCCACTGCCACCACAGTCAATGTCCGTTTCACCGTTGTTTTGCAGACCATCGGTACACGAGGGACCTGTAAGAAGAACACAAGATGCACGGCTTACCGGTTGTTATAATACTCACTTTGACACACGCCATTACCACACAACATATTATTGCAATCTGCGGTAATTTTGCAGATCTTATTCACGGCACACTTCTTTCCGGATGTACCACCGCAATCCACGTCTGTCTCATCTCCGTTCATCACGTTGTCGTTGTTTGCTGCAGCTGAAAAGACGAGAAACAGTCGTGCGCTCTTCTTACTCAAGACTGAGATGTTACCTAGACACTTGGTTCCATCACAGTTCGTACTAGCACAGTCAGTACTAGCAGCGCACTTCTTAGAGGTACCACATCGGGCACATGATCCACTGCCACCACAGTCAATGTCCGTTTCACCGTTGTTTTGCAGACCATCGGTACACGAGGGACCTGTGAAAAGAACACAAGATGCATCGCTCGACAGTTTTTTCCGTACTCACTTTGACAAACGCCATTAGTACACAACATATTGTTGCAGTCTGTCGTAATTTTGCAGTTCTTATTCACGGCACACTTGTTTCCGGATGTACCACCGCAATCCACGTCTGTCTCATCTCCATTCATCACGTTGTCGTTGTTTGCTGCAGCTAAAAACACGAGAAACGGTCGTGCCTCTTCTGTTTCAAAGACGGGTGTGTTACCTAGACACTTGGCTCCATCACAGTTCGCACTAGCACAGTCAGTACTAGCAGAGCATTTCTGAGAGGTCGCACATCGGGGGCATGATCCACTGCCGCCGCAGTCCACATCTGTTTCAAGGCCGTTCCGGAGGCCATCATAACACGTGGCAGCTGTGCAAAGAAAACCAGTTAGAAGGTTATTGTGCTAAGTATATGGTGACGTTGATGAGTTTACCTTTGCATACGCCACTGGTGCAGAGTACGTTGTTGCAATCAGATGTCAGTTTGCAGAGTTTATTTGTGGCACACGGGGGGCAAACGATACCGCCACAGTCTATGTCGAGTTCGTCTGCATTGAGTATGTTGTCGTTACAGGTAGGTGCTGAATGGTGAACGATAGTGAGTCGCAGTTAGAAATTTGTGGAGATCACGACGTACCTTGACAAACTTGACCTGCGCAATTTTTACTAATACAATCGCTGTTACTTGTACAGGTGCTAAGTGTAGCGCATGATTCACACATTCCACCACCGCAATCAATGCCTGTTTCTGCGGCGTTCTTCAAACCGTCATAACATGTGGCGCCTAGTTGAGTTATACATAGGTAAATAATTCAGTTGAGATCGTTCACGTACTGTGACAAACACCATTAGTGCATTCCACATTGGCACAGTCTGTCGTGATTTTGCATTTTTTACTAACGGCACACTTGTTAGCGGATGAACCACCACAATCCACGTCTGTCTCATCTCCGTTCATCACGTTGTCGTTGTTTGCTGCGGCTGAAAACACGAGAAACGGTCGTACCTCTTCTGTTTCAAAGACGGGTGTGTTACCTAGACACTTGGCTCCATCACAGTTCGCACTAGCACAGTCAGTACTAGCAGAACATTTCTGAGTGGTACCGCAGCGGGGGCACGATCCACTGCCACCACAGTCAATGTCCGTTTCACCGTTGTTTTGTAGGCCGTCGCTACACGAGGGACCTGTAAGAAGAACACAAGATGCACTGCTTACTGGTTGTTATAATACTCACTTTCACATACGCCATTAGCACACAACAGATTATTGCAGTCTGCCGTAGTCTTGCATTTCTTATTCACGGCACACGTGTTACCGGATGAACCACCGCAATCCACGTCAGTCTCATCTCCATTCATCACGTTGTCGTTGTTTGCTGCAGCTAAAATAACAAGAAACTGTCCTGCCGTGCCTTTGTCTCAGAGGCGGATATCTTACCTAGACACTTGATTCCATCACACTTTGCACTAGCACAGTCGGTACTAGCCGAGCATTTCTGAGAGATAGCACATCGCGGGCATGATCCACTGCCACCACAGTCAACGTCTGTTTCACCGTTGTTTTGTAAACCATCGCTGCACGAGGGACCTGTGAAATCAACAGAAGATGCATCGCTCAATGGTTCTTCTAGTACTCACTTGGACAAATACCATTGGTGCACTGCACATTGGCACAATCTGCTGTAAGTTTACATCTTTTACCAACGCTACATTTTGTAGGATTTGAGCCGCCGCAATCCACATCGGTTTCGTCTAAGTTCATCACCCCGTCGTTACCAGTTGCCACTAGAAAGTTTGTAATTCTTGAGGATACTACGGTCTGAAAAGATATGGGTTACCTTGACACTTGCTGTTTACACAATTTTTACTTGGACAAATGCTGCCAGTAATGCAGGAACTACCATCTGTACACGGGGCACATGTGCGACCGCCGCAATCCACACCAGTTTCGTCGTTATTTTTGCTACCATCTCCACAATGATTCGCTAGAGAGGTCATCATCATCGTAACCTGAGATAATTAGAACTTGCTTAGGCTTACGTAGACAAATATTTGAGACACAGAGAGCACTGGTACAATCCGCATTTGTAGTGCAAGTTGAACTATCAGCACACTTTCTTCCTGCAGCGCAAATTCCACCACAGTCTACACCTGTTTCGCCAGAATCTAAGACTCCATTTTTACACTGGATTGCTAAAAGAAATGTGGAAATGTTAATAATTGACTGCAATGAGGACGACATACGGAGACAAGAGTTTGCTGTGCACACATCACTGGCACAATCAGCGCACATAGTACAGTGTGCTCCATCAAGACATTTTTTTCCTAGTGCGCAATCACCACCACAGTCTATAGCTGTTTCGGTAAGATCCAGTACACCGTTTGCACAATGGGCAGCTATAGTGAAGAAACGAAAAAGTAGAGTTTTTTTTTTTTGCTAGCGTATAGTTACGTAAGCAGACATTCGATGCACACACGCCGGTGCCACAATCGGAATTTTGTTGGCACGCAGACCTATCATAGCATTTTCTTCCCAATACACAATCACCACCGCAATCGGAACCAGTTTCCGTGTAATCCTTTATGCCGTTATTACAGTGAGATGCTGAAAAGTTACATATATATTGCTGCATTAAATATATATATATGTATCACTTACGTAAACAAATACCGTTCACGCACACACTACTAACACAGTCCGAAGATATATTACACATACGACCATTGGCACATTGCTGACTTGGCGCACACGAACCACCACAATCTATGTCCGTCTCTATACCATTCTTTATACCGTCGCTACAGGTCCACCCTGGAATAAAATAAGAAGTATATATGCAAATGAAGACCAGAGTGACCTCTTGCTTCATCTCATACATAGTATGCCATTGAAACTCAAAACTCGAATCAAAATCGCAATGATCCTGTTAGTATCTTTCTGAATTTCCTGGAAAAATGCGAACAGTGTCGAATGAGTATGACATAAAAGTACTGATGATAGAAGAATATTTGTTGTTTTCTCTATAATCTCTTCAAAATTTGTTATACAGTAGGGTACATAAACACTAGCCGATTATTATCTCGACTTTGTTTAATGGTGTTTCCAACACGCTTCGAGCTATTATTGTGGGGTTATGCATCAATGTTAGCTAGTATCTGTGAGTATTTAGTGAGACTGATATTGGTTGGAACCCGTTGTATTGTTTCGCTAAAATAATCATTGCTCAGAATAGAGGCTCCTTGTAATGTGACTAATAGACCATATTACATTATTGACGTAGTGCTCATATGTAAAAGTTTTTTAATTGCTACAAAACGGTGACTCTTACTCATACTAGTTATAATAATATTTTCAAGATTGAGAAGCGTAGCACTGTGTTGCCATGAAGCTAATAAGTTGATCTCACTAACTATATGTACACCAAATTACTCTTTGGGCACTTGATCATTTCAGTCCCCCTATCCACCAGATGAAGGAGAATGCCTGAGCTTTTAGATTTCATATGAGGAAGGTTTAATATTGCTCTTTTAACACTAAATTCCGAAATAAGTTGTTAAGTCATTTTTATGTTGTCCCTGTGCTTTCTGCAGGGTTGTAGTTTCATGTTCGTTGATATTGCAGAAGTATCTGTGGTGATGACTCGAGAAGTTGCGTTTTAGTAGAAAACAATGTAGAAAGATACGAAATTTGTAAAATATTTCGATAGTCCCAAAAGTTCCTGGCTTAGTCTAATGAGATGAGGATACACCTAAAAAAGCGTAAGATACACTACGTAAAACGACGTCATTAAAATTGCAAATCCTACATAACTGTATTTATAAGAGGTTTTGATGGTTTTCGAGGAAATACGACGTCCATATCTTCCAGCATTCACATATTATTTTAAGAATACACAACTTAATAAAAGTGTTCTATATTCAGCAAGGCGACTGGAAAAGTTAGATGCATCAATCTCAAATAAATTGAATTGTACAACTAGATTATCTAGTCAACTGATATCAATGAAAAACGTCGAGATAAGAATAAACGAAAAGAATTCCGACGCGAAAACTGTAGAAAAGCTCATATGTAACATATAAATTTTTTAACTGTTTCCGAGGTGGCCAGAGTATTATATCGTGTAAAATCACAGAGAGAACAGAACTCGTAGTCAACGATGTATTTGTACACTCTAGAGACTGTGTTGTATAATAACACAAAAAAGGTTTCGACATCTCACGTTTCTGTGGAAAGAGCGTCGACAAGTTCATCGGTGATTCTTTTTGCACCCTACTGTATATCTCATACCCCTATCGCCATCTCTTAAGAAATGACGAAAATTCAAAATTTCGAATAGAATCTATACTGAGAGCATTACTATCAATAAGGGCGCATCGTAGCCATTCAACATACATCGTACCGTCACTACAGCCTATCTTTCTTGAGGGATTTTGTATATTTTATCTGTGGGATGCATAAAGTATCTCTACTAACGTAAGACAATTTAATTTCTTGCCTGGAAAATTTGATTGAAATGAACAAAATAAACCAGAAACCGAACGCACTTCGCCACTTTGTGTGGTAATACTGAAAGAAAATGGATTGGACCCGAGTTTATTTTGAATATCAGTTTTAATGCCATTGATACACTTCTCGATGCAATGTTGAGCTTTACAATGAGTGTTAGGACACCAATGGACATAAAGTTCAAGTTTTAAGAAATTTTTTTCTTCTGAATTGTAGTTGGTTCCATTTTTGCCTTTGTTCGCATCACATGATAATGCACTATAAATCACAAAGCATATTATCAAACAGTTTTAATCAAGAGAAAGTATTGGAAGTAACTAACCTTGTCTGCCGTTTCCTTTTCGTATTACTTGTACGCGCAGACGTACTGTCACCAAGTGTAGCTGATTTAACACCTAATGGTTCGCCTGTATAACCAAGGAGCTGATTAATCTAAAATAGAACCGTTTTATCTTGCTGTCTATAAGGGAAAATACGAACTGATGTCGCAATGGAACTGAAGTCTCCCGTTGTAAACGTTTGACTACTCTCTAAGTTAGTAGCAAATGCCATATTGATTTTCCCTGCTAAAAGATAGAAAAATTGAATTGACAGAAATTCAAAGTAATAGCCATATCTATACCATTTGTTTCGTTGCGTAAGGTTAAACCATCACCTTTATTTGGTAAATATAAAGCCATCAATGATAAAGCAATGACTCCACCAATAACAATCATGACAGCCAGCGTAAAACATGAACTTATTACAGCAATCCATGCCGATAGTACACTAAAGAGAAGAAGATATTCAACGAATGATAATTAATAGTGTTATATGCATACGAGGGTATAGCTGCTGCTTCTGTAGCACGATCGTAATAAGTAGCAACACGATCAATAAAGTAAGTTTTGATCCACGACATAGTTTGTTACTGTTTTGACAGTGAACTTAAGTCTACAAATGTTTCTTGTTATGGTCAAACGACGAATATTCTACAAAAAATGTTTCACGTACCGTCTTCTCACTTTGATTATGCTCGTACTTCAATGTGAAAGTATCACTAGTATCTGCTGTTTAAATAAGAATAGCAATAGCGTTGGCGTCTCTCTTTCTCTCTCTCTGTCTATCCCTTTTTATCTTTTCTCCGTCTTTTCTGTCGCTATAGTTGAATGAGTTACCTCTTTTGCGCTGTTCCGTATATTGAAACGAAAGCGCATCGACATGGTGATTTATGAAAGCTATTTTTTATTAAATATTCGATAACTTCGCTGTTATAGAATTATGTTGCCATTTTAAAAAAAGAAAGAACAGCACACGAAATTCTGATTAAATAAAAATAGCCAAGATAAAATATTGTGTCGTAGATGCTTCGATCGCGCCATTTTCAATTGAAAGGATCGTCATTTGACCTCTGAGTCTATCTTATTTAATGTGTAAATTTATATTAACATAACTCTTTTCACGTGCTTGGAAGAGAGAATCTCACCAAGTAATGCTATCTCTTTCAACTCATACTTTGCTTCTTTATTATTATTGTAAATGTCCAATTCTCCAGTAAAAAAATTCGATGTACTCTATTATCAGAGCTACTTTAAAACTGTATCCACCATCAGAACAAATCTTTTCCACAACAAGAACGAAAAAAACTGAACAAATTAATTTAAATTAAATGTTTAAATCAATCTTTCTGCATTTACACAAGTACAAATTGGCCATTATAAGTCATCACTGTTCGTATAATCAACTGACTACTACATCACGTCAAATTACCCCAAAAAATAAAAGTACAACGACAACTCATGTTTTGCATTACTATCACTTGTTTCTGTCACCCATAGAAAATATTGTTTTGAAAAACAGTCCCTTTGGCCCAGGTTATTATGGCACGGTCGGTTCCAGCCGGTTAGGTTCGTTTTCCGACCATTTCCTTGCCTCCGAATTCCGGCCGGAAGTTCAAACGTAGGTTCCAGTCATTTCCCGACCGTTTCCTGCAAACTTCGAGCTGGAAACGGTCAGGAACCTGCCGGAACTTGCTGGAATCGGCGAAAACTGTGCCGGAACCGACTCAGATTTCACCGGATCCAGTCACCGGAATGATCGACCTGGGGGGTTACACGGAAGGCAGTAAAGAACGGAAAGCATATTTTCATCAGTCATAATATTACTGATCGAATGTCGTCGCCTCATCTCATTGAATTTCGTAACGACTCGTTTCGAGTCACCTTTTTGCAGGTGCAGTGACTGATCTATCACATTACTGTAAATCGTTCGTGTCATCATTAGAAAATATTGTTTTGAAAAACAGTCACTTTGTATCACAAGAAAGACATTAAAGAACGAAAAAAATATTTTTCGCCAGACATAATATTTGTGATCGAATATCGTCGACAAAATGTACTTATTACTGTATGTGCCCTCTTTGAGTTTCTTTCAACGATGTGAATGAATAGTTCGAACAACAAACTACATGAAACAATACCGGAGCTAGTCTTTTCCATAATTTTCTTCCATACATCCAATAATACGACAAGGTACTATTGTGTTGTTGAATTTCGTTAAATTTGTTGGGAGTCAATTTTTTGCAGGTGCAGTGACTGATCTATCACATTACTGTAAATCGTTCGTGTCATCATTAGAAAATATTGTTTTGAAAAATAGTCACTTTGGGTTACACAGAGGATACGAAAGAACGAAAAAAATATTTTTCGCCAGTCACAAGATTCGTGATCGAATATCGTCGACAAAAAGTACTTATTACTGTATGTGCTCTCTTTGAGTTTCTTTCTATGACATACTGTTCGTTGAGGCTTTTTGTTTACCATAATACTAGCAACCAGCACTATTTTTAACGGCAAAGCAAAGTAAAACGAAGAAGATACTATGAGTATTTTGTTTTTTTTTGACAAGCCGTAAAAGGATTTGGAATCAGTACCACACAGATGGGCTATGGTTGAATTGGGAAAGACTTTTGGCGTGATACTAGATCTGTACAGTTTCAAATGAGAATAGCTAAATCCAGCTATTCATTGATTTATTCAGTCTTCTTGGTAGACGTAAAAACATCCTTCGAGGGACTGCAACAAATTGTTACAGTCATAAATGCGCACGACTGATTTAAGGTGCAGCTCAAAACTATATCTGTTAGGTTCGAAAAACACAATTTATTGACCGCATATCCGCTGAATGATATTAGATTCACAAAAGGAGTTTATTTTTCTAAAGCGGTTCATTAACCAGTTGTCTAAAGTATTCACAGCGGATTACAGTAGAACCACTATAGTTGGGTAACTCGCGACGATGTGCACATACGTAATCTGGGCACTCAGAAGTCCACCCGACCATTTTTTTGCTGGATCTGAAACTATGTATTGTAGACACCTCCTTTTTTAGCAGCGAGCGCTCAATTTTGGTCCCAAACCTAACAATAGCCTCTGCCGTATGGGCGCTATTAATGGAAGTATTCGAATGCAGGATGATGAAACGAAGGTATCATGTGTCGTATTATAGTGAATAACCAAACAGTGCATATAAGTAAGATCCAAGGGGAAACCGGCGGATTCCGTGCTCCATAGATTCTCACTGTACTTTCACGGTACTCCCATGGATCCGCAATCCCCGGAGTATCTCACCAAAGAAAATCAATGTGGAATTAAAGACAACTTCATCGCATAACTGTGGGTCGTAACAAAGATACGAAGGTGTCTGTTCTTGATGTTCGATATACTTCACTTCAAATTTATTGTAGAGAAAATAAGTATGACCGAATAAAACCAGTCTCGATGGAATAAACACATTAACTGAGGACAAGTTTCTCACAATTCCCGTCGCCACAAAGTGTTGAACATCCGAGAAAATCAGAATTCGATGCATCAACAATACGTCGAAATGCCAACGAACAAATATCCGAGATTCACGGTACTTTTATTTCACTAACATATCTTCACGATATTGAGCACAATATCCGATTAAATATTCATATTTATGCGTAAAACGATACCGACAAATAATACCTTCATAAGGAAATATCGATTCCAAGTGGAATTTCCTTGAACTGGCTCGAACTATCAAGTAGAAATTTGTTTGATATTATTCCATCACGAATTTCACTTCAATAAAGACAAATCGATGTTGAACCACGATGACATTCCAAATGAATAGCACAAGTCAAAGAATGAATAATCTTTCGAATATTTTTATAAAAATCAGGAAGAACTTTATTCAATGATGAAGACGGTGAAATTTCGAATTCGAATGAATATTGACAATACGAACAAAATCTCGGTGAGGTGAAATTAGAAAAGATTGATCTCGAAACAGAATTTTCGGTGAGATCAATTGATGACGACCAAACATATAGTTCTTCGCTTGTGATTCCCTTTTCATAAAGTTCAGCAAATGTGTATATCGTATCGAAAGAATTTTCATCAGTTAAAAGAAAAATTGATTTGAATCGAATAACAAGTCGAAATCAGGAGAAAAAAAATCATCCTCAACATAATTTTTCTTGTCATAATAAAAACTTTTTTTGTTAAAATAGATTCATGACATGTATATTAACTCCATTATTCTTTTTCCCTTCTCTTAAAGAAAGAATTATACAGCGGTTAAATCCTAAGCTTAGAAAAGTTAAAGTTTGTTTCTCTGTCTGTCCTATTCAATCAGAAAGCAGCATTTCTTCAATCATTGAAATTTATCGATAGCAACCAAAGACTGAGTACTAGTAAGGTAATCGGGGTCGAGGAACTCGAATTTTAGCCTATTTTTTACTGATTATTAACTATGAATTAACTACTGGTTAACTAGGCATGAGATATTACTTTATGCAGTAAGGGTTGACCGAAGGATAATCGGGATCGGAGAACTCGAATCCGTTGTTAGTTTTTCCTTACTCACTAAGATCCGTCTTCCTTTCTTTTGTGGGCAACTTAATAAAGTGTCGAGAAAAACCTTCATGTGTATAACGTGAAATTAGAAAAATATCCATAGGATGAGCGTTACTTGTTAATAATGGATTGTTCTCTGCTTCTAACAATAGTTTATTTCATCTGAAAATTTGTCTGCTATGATTCGATTAAGATGTAACTGATTAGTAACAAATATTAAAAGAAAACCTTAGCTATTTTTCATATCTCATAGAGGTAAGCCGTACATGAATTAAAATGCGTCAGAAAATTTTGTGTCGAATTATCGATGAATATCACAAGACTGAGGAAAAAAGAACGAAACAACCCACATATTCACACATGAAAGAATAAAATATTTTTTAAAGAATATCTGTTTCTTTCTTCTGTGTACACACTGTTTCAACCGTTTGATTTTCTAATTCGCGCTAATAAGAAACGACGTTATATGTTTGTGTATAAAACCTATTGTATATTCTAGATTTTTGTTTCTCATCTGAATCATGGCAACATCGCAAATTTCAGAAAGTAAGCTTATGTTACAACCAGAATCTGTATCTTTACAGACAGAATTAGACAAAAATAATGAAAAACATTCACAAAATACTGAACTTGTGCTAATTCGAAAAAGATACACTATGTGAATTCTCTCTCTACTTGTAAGTATACCAACGTGAATATAATGTTCTAAGAAATATTTCAAGACTCCAGAGGATTTCAATGATATTTATTTCAATATTCTCAACATTTTAAGTACCAATTTTGTGTAAAGATTAACTCCATGTTTAATACGATTGTTACCGATTACTTCCTTTCTCGTAATTATAATTCGATCTATATATCAGATAATTTCTTATGGGCCTTTCGTGTTACCATGTATATCACACGAAGTAAATAAGCTTTTAAAAGAACTTAACATAGATTGTCAAGGTTTTATCTTCGTATATAACTATAGTCACCATTCAATCTTATATATGATAAATTTGCTTAATATTATCATAAAACGGATTCGATTCAGTATTTTAATGGTAATTCTTTTAGATAATTCTGTTTTTTCTTTTTATTGTATTGTATTGTAGTTTTGATGGTTAATGGTTGCTGAAAATATTATCACTTCAGTTTTTTTTTCTATCCGTATTAATTTATGGACGTTTACATGATATTTCTATGCAATGGATCATCGTTATGGTTATATTAATACTAGTGTACTATATTATTTCATTAAGAATTCTTTTACTTTTACTGTTCTTATTCTCGCATGCTGATACTTTTATAGGTTTGAATAATTCGTGACACGAAGACTGCGTATCGCACCGTAAAAGAACTTGAAACATCAACACGTATCGAAATAGTTTTCAAACGTGATCCAACTCCAGACACTCTTTGAAATTTTCTCAATACATATTCAACTTGTTCTTTTTATTTCTGACTTCTATTACTCTCTACAATCTTATGAATTGCGTAGTTAATGTAAGCGATTTCAATTGGATTAGAATTCTTCGAATAGCTTAAACTAGTATAATAAACAAGATAGAGAACCACAGGTAGTTGATTGGATTCTTATCTGTGTCCCATTTCGAGAATAATGTGATACATGATCAATGACAGAATTTAGTCCTGTTTGCTCGAAATCACGCTTCGCGGCACCCGATCTCGCTCTTTGATGAGTATTCTATTCAATCTGTCAATTTCGAAGAAACGGGACGGTACCATTAGTTCGTGTTCACTTTTACAGTATAATGTACGATTTCACTCAGAGAGAAAAATCCAAATCTATGTAAAACTGTCCTGAATTGACTTGACACATGTGTATGAAACCGAAACTTTGTTGCTTTCAAGTACACTCGCACAATGCTTATCTCACAAATGTGAGAATTCTTTGATATTAATGGGATATTGTTGTTTGCTCGATTCAACAATGTTGCATGTATCGATATAGACATTTTCGTAAACTTGTCTCGTTTTATTTTCAATCGAAAGAAAACACGGCGTGAATACAGTCTATAATGAAAATGTTGTTGAACAATTCTTCGAAACGAAGTTAGAATTTATGTTCGGGCGTATTTTAAAAGTTTTCCGTCATCTAACAAAACGTACATATTCATACTTGAATCAAAAGCTAAATCTACTGGATCATCATCAGTATTCACGACAACAATGCCTAGTGTAGAATTAACACAGTACATAACTATTCGAGAATTGCGTTGGTCTGCGACATACAAATTTCCTTCAGGATCTAGTTTCATACCTCGTGGATATCGTAGTGTACTAGGACCAGTGGCGACGTTTGTGTAAGCAGTGTTCGACGTTGAAGCACCAAATTCCCACAAATATACGTTTGTACCAGATTCATCACTCAAATATATCTTATCGGATGAGCCATGTGGAAGCAACAGTGCTGATAGTTTGCTAAAAGCACTATTTGCATTGATAACTACTAACAAGCTTGATGAGTTGGGGGCCAATTTCATCACTTGATTGCTCCCTTGATCACCAATGTAGAGATTGAAATCATTGTCGACAGCAGTACCAACTGGGTAAGTTAGAGTACCAGTAACAATTGAGCCACTTCCAGCAACAATCGTGCCATTTGGAGAACTCGATGAGTAGCGACGCACCAAAAATGTATTGTGACAGTTTGTATAGAAAGAGCCGTTTTTGTCGATTGTAATAAAATCGATATGATCACCGTAGCTTGGTGTTGCAGGAACTATCGTATTGTTGGAACACATTAGCACTTGACCAGTTTTGTGGCCGGCTAAATATACTGTATCATCAAGTCCTATGTTCACACTAGTAGGATTTTTAATAGGATTAAAACTGGTGCCACATAAAACTACACCCATTTGGCTCCAGCAATAGTTGCCACCTAAAGATGTACATACGTTACATAAATGTGTTTTATAAATGAAATCGCACTCACATTGAAAACAAGGGGTTGTAGTAGTAGTAGTAGTGCTACTAGTGCTACTGGAAGTGGTAGAGCTACTACTGCTACTGGAACTGCTGGTAGTATTGGCAGTGAAAGCGGTGGTGCTTGTTGTCATGAATGTAGTGGTAGAAGAAGCAGTGGTTACGATGGCACTGTTTGTTTGGTTTGCTTGTGACGAAGACATGACCAGACTGCCTACCGTGTTTGTATCTTTAAAAAAGTATGAACACATTGTATATTTCATTAATCATATGAGGGAAGTGCATCAACTACGTTCAGATGCGCAAAGACAAAATTTCCTAATCAACTTAGAGCTTCATATTGATGTGCATCAGGTAGGCTTCATCGATCTGAATAATGAATTCAATTCCGTTGAATTACAGATTATATGTAGTGTTATTGTAAAGTGGATTTTCAACGAACTGATTGACACAAGTTGTATGCATTTCCAGCAACTCACGAAGATGTTTATTCGTGTTGAAGACTATTCTCATAAACTATCCGATATCGTTATCTCCCTATTCTTCCTCAGTGTGTTAACTGTTTCTCAATCTGATGAACTATACATTGATAATAAGCTTAGGGCAATTATCGTGAATACTCACTTGAAACTGGCTTCAAGTACAATACTAAAAGAACAGATAAAGCAATACCAGCTAACAAGGCACCAATCAATAAGCCGTACATGCAAGCTTGGCATTGAGAACAGCAAAACAGTGCAGAAGCCCCACGACTTCATATAAATGAATGAAAAAAAATCATCACATATACCAAAACAATATATATGTATGGCATACCGTTGTTCATCATTGGTACCGTCATCATCATCATCGCCATACCGAACATTGTAAAAACCAATGGAATTGCTCGTTTGATGTAAATTGTGCTGTGTTGCATTTCGTTGTTGAGATTCACTGGTGTCTTGTCTGCTGATCTCCTAAGTAAGATTATTTTCACACACTTATCCAAATATAAAGGAAGTCCTGATATCCCTCACCATTCGATTTGCTTCGGAAATAGAAAGTGATTTCAAACGTTCAGGCGAATTTTGAAAAAAATCAATCAATAAGCGTGTATTAATAACCTGATAGATATCTAAACTGAAAATGCTTATATGAAATGTTTCCGCGTATGTGCAAATGTGGCTCTGACGAAAAAACTTTTCAAAAATGCCATATATCTTTGTGCTTTGCTATTCATTATAAACAAAAATGAATTTGTAATTATTTACGGATTATTTTATTCTTGTATAAAATGTTTTGTCGAGCTTTGTTTGAAAACCATATCTTGAAAATAAGGTTGCTCTCGATTCTGCAGTTCTCTCTGTGTCTAGTCATCAAAATGCTAATCAGATTGATTGTGTCGAATACAAAAAGAAACAATAACAACAAAATAGTGTTTCTTTTGTAAAACGCTGAAATTCAGGCACAAGAAAAAAGAGAGGGTGAGTGGAAAGACGAAGGGGGAAGCAGCTGGCGACGGTTAGAGATTTTTTCGCCCACAGTTTTCGTTTGAGCGATGAGAAACATTTCTATAGTATAATCTTTATTTTCATACTGATGGGGTTGAGAATGAGGGACGAATGCATATCTGGCACACTCATTTGCGGCGCCATTCTAAACATCATATACACTATTTCAAACTTATATATTTTTATTCTTTTAATTTATGATAAATTTATGTTAGCAACTTATGAAAAACAGTTCATCTTCTAGAACACATATGAAAGGAAAAAGAACGGCTCGGACGATCGTTCTCACTGCAACAGCATTCCCCGTCTTCATTGGACTTGATAAGTAATAAGTAAAAATGGTACAGCTTGAGCACTTTGATAAACAATGTATTCAACCGCACTAGGATTGGCCATGCCACATATAGAATGATAGTGCTCTGGTGGAGAGCTCAACGAATGATCAGTCGTTGATCTATTACATATTTCCCCAAGAGTAACAAGACAATAAAACATTTTCAGATTCGGATCTGTTAACGATGCTCGCGTATACTGATGTGATTTTGTAGTCTTGTCAGCAAAATAGGCACCGCGTCCTACAACGAATAAATGAACAAAATGGTTTAGATACAGTCAATTTCTATTTGATAGATACGCTTGTAAAAGCACTGTACAACTTACCGTATAAACCACTTGAAGAAAAGTAACGCGCATCAAAGCCCTTTTCCATAATACTTTCAACTTTATCAGTAGGTGTACCATGAAACAGATGACGTTCATTATTTGTTCCATTTCTACATTGACCGGTTATCAGTATTTTCGTTGCATGATAAATATTGAAGACGTCTGTATTTCGAATTTGTTCGATGGATAGCACTTTAGCATTGGAAATTTGCTTCATTTCGTTTTCTATCTTTTTGTACAAATCAGACGCTGTCGGCAGAAGATCTAAGACGAACTTGTGATTTTTATGAGGTGGTGGAATATAATTCAAGTCATCGCCGAATTTTTGCCATCCACGTGCCAGCATTTTATCTTTACGTTTTTTTACTATATCATCATCAGGACGTAGTACACGAAAACATTTGTTCTTTATACTGTCAACGATTTGTTCGAGCTCAATAGAGAAAGGTGGATCACGAAGATTAACTCGTTGACCGAGTTCTGCACAGAATCCACGTATGACATATAGATTGTTAACATCGAAATCAATCCGATTCTGCGTCAGTGCTACATGCGGTTCGATTAGATCCATAGTGAATGGACCTGTCGGATAGTTTCGATCGAACAGAAGGATATATCGCCAATCTTGTCGAAAAACTTCTGTTTGTATATGATACTTGTGAATTTCGTCGAGAAATTGATCGATATCGAAAGGATGTTCTAAGGGCAAGTGGCAATCAAGATCAGATGGAATTAGCGCTTTATCAATGACAGGAATTTTATGGAAGAACTGTACCCATTGTTGAGGAAGAACAGACGCAGAAGGTCGAGCTGATTGATTAGCAACGATCCAGTCGCGAACAAAGCCACCTTCTAGTTTACAATGAAAAAGACATACTGCTATCCATGCCACGACTTCCATTCGTGTTTCCCTCGTTGCTTTTAAACCACGAACGCGTGGCCAGAGATCGACTGGAGTCAGGGCGTCATCAGTAACCCGCCTAATACGACGCTCCATATCAGCTACCGTCTGTTTCGTTTGAGGGTCAATATATCGTCGAGGATACATGCCATTATCCAAATGTAATGCTATACATGGTTGTAGCCATTTGACAAACGAATCAAACTCTTTTCGTACTTTTTCGTAGTCTTCATCCCGAGCTTTAATGATAATTTCTCCGTGCTCGTCAGTGTCTCGAAAGATTACTTTTACTTGATTTTCTGCTTTCCAACGCCATTTCATAGGATTGAAAACATGCCATGATTCAATGAGAGCTTTGACATTTTTCTTTAATGATTGGTTCGTCTCGTCCTTCGATATAAGTAAAGTTGTATGCTTCAGTACAAGACTACGGCGGACATGCAATTCGGTCGTAAGTACATGACTGGCGTTTCCCGAGAGATTCAAATTTTTACCATTTAAAGTGCAAAGAATATTACGAGAGATATTGAGGAAATCTTCACTATACATAATTTCGCCATTAAATACCTTTATTTCTTTGTCAGCTAATGTAATATCGCGCTCAAGACTCCTATCGAGCCATTCTGGTTGAATCTCTCCAAGAAATGAAATAATCGATCGATCGCGAATATCAGTTGACACAAAGATGTCGCGGGCAAGTACCAAAGGAACAGGTTGGGCACTGAGAAGTCGCGAAAGTTTTGATGACTTATCGAGAACAGCAATTTGTTGTTTTGCTGAACTGTTTGCAACAGTATAACGAATATAACGATGCTTTTTACCTTGAATTTCGGCAAGTGATAGATACACGTTATCAGAATAACCAGCAAGCAGTGCGCAAGCAATTGGAGTCCAATGTCCGTTCGTAGAGCGTTGCGATGCAACTCTATATTTTGCTGATAAGCAAAAGAACGTTTGAAATGAATCATATCGAATAACAGCACGTCTGATGTGATGACTGATTACTACGAGACCGGTTCGTTTACAAGCATCATCGATATCGAAGAGATGTGGTGGTTGAACAAGTTTCTCAGCTAGTATTGCGTCCATTACCGCGAGAAGAGTCATAAAATCTCCTTCTGATTTTATATAATGAGAGGGAATATGTCGTAGAGCGGATGACGTGTTCAATACACTTAAAATGGCAGCTAGCCGAATAATATCACGACCACAGTTGTATGTGTCTAAACCACTTAATACTGCCTTACTCATTGCAATACTACCAAAATCAGGTAAGGTTGATATGAGCGAGCCAATTGATGTAAAATGGTTATGCCGATCGAGAACATCGAGATCTCTCAATCGTTTCTTAGCAGCTTCAATGACTTGATCACTGGGTGGACTTGGCAGCCACTTCTTCAATTGATCCAAGCCGCATTTCAGCGGAGATCGTTGCAGAGAAAACTCGATCTGCACTAATTCTGTTTGACATATTTGTGGATCAGGAAACTTTTTAGAAGGAGTGAACGTATATAATGGATAATATTCACCAGGACGTGTTCGTCCAAGTCGTCCTTGTCGTTGTTTAATGGTTGATTCGGCTGCATCTAATTCTTTTAGTTCAGTTGTATCTAACAATGGATCGTAGACAGGCATGTGAACCACTCCAGTGTCGATGACAAATCTCAGTGAAGGAAAAGTCAAAGATGTTTCAGCGACTGTTGTTGAAAAGAAGATCCGTTTCGTTTCAATAAGTTTTTGTTGTTCATTCGATGACTGAGATTGAACCAACGGGAAAGCTTGTAGACCTTTTGCTATCTTTAATAGTTTGATCAATTGCAATACCTCAAACGTTGATTTAACAAAACAAAGCATCTGATCATTCAAATCCAGTTGTTCGTTTAATTGACTAATCAATTCAATCATATTCTCCGTCCACACTGGCTTGATGGTGACTGGACGTAGAATAGATGTTTCCAGTTTCATTTCGTGAAATCGAAATGGTTTGAAGATGTGTGTAATAGATGAATCAAGCGTAGCTGAAGAAATGATTACTCTGATTTTTAGGTGAATCGATGGATTTTTGTCGAGAAATCGTGCTATTAACCCGAGACAAAGATCAATATTGATCGAACGTTCGTGCACTTCATCGATGAAAAATACAAGCCCTAGTTTACTCGTTTTGGCTCGATGAATTAGAAATTGTTCTCGATACAGAAGATATTCTTTAAGTAATCCATCAGTTATATAAACAATGGGTGCGTGTGAAACGTTCTTCGAATGGGCACCGGCTACAGTCCAACCACTTAGATTAGTACAGTCCAAGCTGGAATTGATCCGTCGGGACAAGAGAGTACATGGCAAACGACGTGGTTGCGTAACAAAGATTTTGTCAAAACCCATAGCGACAAGTAGCGGCGGAATAAGAGTTGATTTACCTGATCCAGTTGCGGTAGAAATAGCAACGACTGTGTTCTCCTTGATTTTCTGAATTAATTCAATAGAAGATTGAAACAAAGGTAATTTCAACTGAAAACATTGAAAGATAAGATGAATTCGATGAATTAAAGACGATAGTAACGAAAACTGATGAGGTGAATGGCCACGGTACACTTCTTCATCGACGAGTAAGCCGTGTAACTTACGTAAATGAGCGTCTATAACAATCGAGAAAGAAAAAGACTACTGCTTATAGCCAAATAAGCAAAATAATTACCTCGAATGTCGATTGCATGTTTCGTATACTCTTTATTTGATGTAAAGCTTTCCTTGATTTTATTGATGAATTCCTGAAGAGCTTTGCTTTTCAAGTCTTCAACTGAGTTCAGGAAGTCATGATTCGTTAGAAATGTATTCTTTTCTGAGCGCATCTTTGTTCGCCAGCCTGTAGTATTATGAACGACATCACCAGCAAAATCTTTCGCCTTTCGTCCTATAAAGGTATTAAACTGTTTGCAAGATTCATCTTGAGTTGTGTTGATTAGATTTTGCAAAACTCTTAAAAAGATTTCCCAATTCTTTGCACTGCACTTTAGTTTTACAGTAGAAATAGTCTGAATAAAAGCTCGACTGTTCTTTGTAGTTTGATATCGATAGGAATCCTTTTGTCGCGTTATCTGTCTGACAAATTTTTCGATTCGAGAACGTATACCATTCATAGTGATATGATGAACAGAATACGCATATAAAGTCCAAATCTGATGATGGTCGATGGTTTCATGAGTTTTCGAATGAATTTTAATGTTTTTCTCATGCATTGCTGTTTTACCAAGAAAATTCAACGTTTTCAGATGATTCTCAACCATGGTCGCTTGCAATTGAACATATTCCGTTCCCGGTATATGATATGTTGTTATCATCAAATCCTTTTCAGCTTGGATTTCCGCTTGACGGTGACTTTTAAGCTGTTGGACTAGATTCTGTTCATTTTTAAGATTTTGTTCCAGTTCTCGGCAACGCTGGTCAATTTGATGCATTTCGTTCATTGCAGATTTTAAAATCTTATCTTGTTTGTCATACTCGTTCTGTAACATCAGAAAGTCTTCTGAGATTGGTGGATTTGATAGCGAGTCACACAATTGCCGAATTAAAGATTCTTTTGTTTCAATGTCCTTTTTCTTACTTTCCAGATCTTTTAATAAAGTACGTTCGCGTTCAACGATTTGATCATATTGCTTTATCCGAGCAAGCTCACGATCCAAACTCTGGCGTTTTTCTCGAATATTATTCTGAAGATTTTCTACTAGTGATGAATCAGTTGTTTCACTAACATCATGACTTGTTTCGTCGTCACTATTAGCATTCAGTTCCATGTCTGTGATAGGCACTGCAACTGACATTTGTGTGCTTTCAATCTCTTCCTCTTTATCTTCCGTAGCATTGTCAATGAAACGATCTGGAACATCAGCCATCAGATCGTCAGCTGCAACAGTATACTCAGTAATGTCACTCAAATCATTACTTGTAGTAAGTGTCGATGAAAGCTCGCGAAGGAGTTTACTTCGCAAAGGTATCGGAGGGTCATTTTGAAAAGTAGTTGTTTGAAAATTATCAATTGGCTTAATACGTTTTGTTCTCGTGTCAACATTAACAAACTTTGGTATCCATCGAATATGCCCCTGAATCGTTTTCGTCTCATCGTTGAAAGAAAACAATTCCAAATTTACATGAATTTTTCCAAAAAGACGCGTATTGATAATGCAGCATCGAACACGTTGATCGATCGCATCATCGAATAAGTTGCCAGCGATGTCATCCGCGTTGTACCATGAATTAAGACGATATCGCAATTGCTTAGAATCGAATAATGCTGGTATATCGACAGGTTTCGTTTTTGCTTCTTTGTGCGATGCTTTAGACACAGAGGGGTGCGCAATGAGCATCATTTGCCACAGACATTGAACATCGAAATTGTATAGATTTGATCCACGACAACGAATCCATTTGACATTCTGTTCCGTGCCGTCTTCCACGAGAAATTTCATCATTGACACAGAATATGCTCCGTTGTGACGACTCACATTGATGGTTGTATCAGATTTATCACGTAAACTTGTATTCAATTGTGCAGATTCGTTTTCATCAAAGCATTGCCAATTTTGTTCATGTAATAGTTTAAATTCCCAAACGCAGACCGGCTGCAAAGATTTCAAATCGTAATTAATTGATAATAACTTATTCTGAATTGTCATTGTTGGTAAATCGATTCTATTAGTACATTTTCCCGTGTAATCAAGAACAAGATGATCACTGAAGATTTTGTGCAGGTCAGGAGAATTGTTGGCAATCATGGTGGGTGTTTCCTTGTTTTTATTTTCTATGTAGCAGTTCGCACCTTGACTAAGAAGATAACGAACTATGTCTGCATGTCCTTTGGTACATGCCGCATGCAAAGCTGTATCAACATCTGTACATTTATCGTTTTGATTTTGAGTATTCACAGAACATTTAGCTTCTTCAATTAAATATTTAATTAAGTCTAGATGATTGTTCGCCGTTGCCACGTATAGTAATGTATATCCATGTAATAAAGGTCGGTCTTTAGACAATGGATCTTCCGTAAGAAATGTCTTAACCATAGTGATGTCTCCTTTTTCTGCTCCGTTGAAACCTTCGATGGATTGAATAAAAACTGGTAATTTTTGTTCAAATATCGAAAGAATATCGACGCTAAATGGTTCAACGAATCGATCGTCAACAAAATGAAACTCATAGAGAAAATCTAAGAAATAATTGTATGTAACTTGGTCGTAATTAAACTCATGTCGCAATTGGTTAACAAGTTTTTGTATGTCTTGGGCAGCCTCTGTAAATAATACATTGACCTCTTCGGACGACGAGAATAAATCGAAGTCATCGGAATTGCAAACAATTACAAGCGATGAGCTTGCATTTAATTCTGGTTCACCATCATTCTCTTTGATAGATTCTTTCACCCTGTTCAGAGTCGATTGAACATGAACTAATATTGTTTTACAAGTTTTTATAAGCTCATCATAGAACAGCGTACCACTCATTGTCTACAAAGAAGAAAAGAAACAACATGTAGGTTTTGATTCGCTTTTGACAAAAAAAAACACCACTGAATAAGATTTGTTATCTAATCTTTAGTATTTGCGCGTAAAGAACAGAATGAAATTCTCATGAAGAGTAATATATTTGTTTTTGAGAGATTTGAGAGTAAGCATCAACCTGTGTGCGTCAGATGTCACTCCAGTGACATGAACTGAAAATCAACACTTTCAGATGTCATTCCGAACATACTATCGAATTGTACTCCGAGCTTCTATGGCCTGAGTTAAAATATATATCTATACGAATGGGTTAATCGGTATAACTATTTCGGATGAGTTTCATAACGTACAGAAATTTAACTTCGAAATATTTCTGCCTACATCCGATTTGAATGTCAACTACTTCGCTTTTAATAACCTCTCGGAAGCTTAATCTGTACTATTTTCATTCAGACAGAAGTCGATTCTAGTCATTACTGCGACGTATAGATACGAATAACTATGATAGTGATGGTAGTATTGGTGCTATGAGAAACCCATGTCCTCAAAATCGCCTCGGTTTGGACGATTAATCGCGATTTTTTCCCTTATGTTCGACGGAATTTGAACGATTTAATCGCGATGAATCAGCGTTTTTTTCGAAATTACGATTAGATCGTTAGTATCCTGAAAATCGCTGATTCATCGCGATTAATCTCACAATTAATCGTCCAAACCGAGGCGATTTTGAGGATATGGAAAGAGTTTCGTTTTACAAGGAACAGATCCTATACGAGAACATTTTGCAATCATTAGAATAACAAAGTCATGATGAAGGTCTTAACTATTCATTCGGTATTATAGTTACTGTTTTCGTGCTGTCTCGTTTATATTATCCAATCAGAGAATGGATAAAACGGTTTATTCCAACATCCTGGTGAGCGATTAAAAGGCATTACTCATTCTGAAAGACAAACATTCGGCTTTTATTGCTTAAAACACTAGAGAAGAAAGAAATATTTGTATGAAAACGATCATACACTTGGAAATTTCCAAGCTTATAAGGTTGGCGCAATGCAAAATTCGAGCAAAATTTTTTTGTCAATTTTTTAATGGATTCTGATGTGGTTTGATGCTCTGAATCCGAATATGTATGATTTATTTAGATAAGAAATGATCTTCCTACCGGAAATCGAAAAATACTGCGAAAACCGAGAGTTAAAAAACCAGGTTTTCTACTGGGATTTTGACGATGGCGCTTCGAAAAAATGTATTATAGCTTTGAAAGTTTTTTCTGTGGATTCAGCATCAAAAACTGATACTATGACACTAGTTTTTCATCGCTTAACGCATATCTTTCTCCTTAAAAAAATTTATTTCTCTTCACACACCAACCATTCGAGCGAAGCTCTTTTGAAAATGCATCAACTCATTTTCTAATGAAGATAGACACTTTTTTCTTTCGCCATTCGACTTCTTGGATACCATTGATATAATCTACGTATTATCTTTCTTCAACTCACTTTCTTTCTCAAAATTCCCTAGCCATTTTTCAACCATTCATTTCGTACATGTATTTTTCGATTTTTAACAGCAGTTTTCGCTTATTTTCTTTTTTCCAATCTAATTATGCGTTCGGAATGAGAAAGATCGTCGTTATTATCATTTGAAGGGCCGATCTAACTATTTTGAAAAAATTTTAGGGGTATGGATGAAATTAGGTTCGTTGAGGGTGAGTGCAGTCACCGTATGTCTAAAGCTTATAAGAACACTCATATGTCTTACACACCCTCACCCTCTATGGTATCCAGGAAGCGCAATGGCGAAAGAAAAAAAGTGTCTATCTTCATTAGAAAATGAGTTGATGCATTTTCAAAAGAGCTTCGCTCGAATGGTTGGTGTGTGAAAAGAAATAAATTTTTTTAAGGAGAAAGATATGC